AACGTACATTTGGCTTCATTTAGAGATGGTTCTCCAATGAAGACAAACAAAACACTGGTGAGTGTTTTGTTTGTCTTCATTGGAGAACCATCTCTAAATGAAGCCAAATGTACGTTTAAAATTTTGTTAAATCTTCGTTTCTGCGAATGATATTATTTTTTGCAAAGTTTTTGTGTCCTTTGTTTCTGTTTTTTTTTTAAGTTAGTTCTAAATAATGAGTAAACTTAAGTACATATATAATAACATCATTAATACTACATATTGAGTTAGAACTGATGAAGCTTTAGAAGTATAAAGCGAAATGTCTTCTATAAACTTATAAAGTAGTTGACTTCTGTTTTATATTTTGCCATCCTGAATGACTGATTCATCACTTCAATCACTTTCAACAAAGTGCTTAGAGCAAACACGAGCAAATTTAACATTAAAATTATCCTGGCGTTTACACAAATGTTTCCAAACAGCTTGCATTTCCTTGTTTTTTGGAAAGCTATAAAATGCTGTACCGGGTACAAAACTCTTGCATATATTGTCAACGGCACAACCATACACTGCACACCTCATATAGGGTAAAATTTAAAGCCTTGTAACACTTAAAATATTATTTTATTAAATATTGGCTATGAACCGTAAATGTACATAAACGTCAAAACACAATATGGCGAAATTTAGCACAAGTTGACGTCACAAAAGTCATGCATAAGCCACGCCCACATGCGCGGTATCTTATCTGTTTGTATTTGTATCATGTGGAAAAACCCACTATCACATTTTCTGTGGAATAAGTTTAGAAGGTAATTATCTAGTCAATTACTGTCGTAGATTCCTGGAATTAAAGAATTAAATGTTTGATTGTTGAAACCCTTACTTCGTGGAATGCACTCATTTCAGATAAAATAAAACGTTTTATTTTATCTAAAGAATTAAACTTTATTTTGCAAATAGGTAGGTACTTATTAAACTTTTATTGGTTATATATAACCAATAAAATAAACATCTTACATTTCTTGCAAATTCATTAGTACCTGTTAACCTCCATCACTCCGACACTGGCAACCTTATTTAGGGATTAGTTACCCTCACAACTATTGTATTCTATTCTGCTCCAACCTTTATACCTGGTGGTCATACTCAATTTAAAATTGTTTTCCTATATACTTCTGTAAACTTGTTGACAAATATCTGTTTTTCATTGAGTCACCCGTATCAACAGTTTAGGGATTTGCATACATAATTTATTGTTTTATTACTCTCTCATACATAAAAATACACTATAATTACAACACTATTTACATTAAAATAAAGACTGTAGAGGCCGACTACTGGTGCGAGGCTAACTATTGGGTGCTTTACCCTACTTGAAGAAGAATGGCATAAGCAAAAACATGCAAATATAGTTGACAGTTCAGTTATAAACTTATTTAAAAAAAAAATTTATTAGGTAGCATTATTATTTGATCGCCCACTGTATCTTCAAAGATATAAATACAACACCAATTATATTCAATATTCCGTTATTCAAGTAAGTAGGAAATTTTATTCGGTACCAGAACGTGACGTGAGACAAACAACAATGAAGATCATTTCTGTTCTGCCGTTTATTTGGTGCTTGTACAAATCTTCACAGATCTTTTACAGATTAGCAATTTGTTAACGGTTGTCAACATCCGCCGCTTTTTGTTGTTTTCTCTATCAAACGGACTCACTCGCTTATATGAATATCTCTAGTTTTTATTCGTTCCGAATGAGCTAACAAGCTTCTTTTGGTTAATTAGTTAACCGTGAATATTTCGTATAAATTTGTTCGAATTAGTATGAAGCTATTAAAAATACAAATTATTTTGACGGAGTCGACAGATTGGTATAATGAAATAATTCACTGCTTTAAAATATAGAAAAAAAAATAAATTTAAAATTTATTAACAAATGCTTTTAAATAGTTAATGATATATATTTTATTTTGATTGTTTGTTGCACATTTTGATGTATTTTTTTCGTAATTTCGTTTTGTCTTTACATTGCACTTTCCAATCCTTAATGAGGATCATTTTCACGGCTTCCTCTATGCCGACACAATAAAAATGTGTATTACTTCTCGGCAAATACTAGTTTTTGCATAAGTTTTTTACATACTTTTTTAACTTACATGTATAATAACCACATGTTTTTTTTTGCTGTTCTAAGTTTGTGTTAAATTGTAAACTGTACTTAGTTTCAATTGATTGTTTATACAACTTAACTATTTAATGGTTCAATGTCTCAAGCTTCTTTACATTGTATACCTTTGTCTGCTACATGTCGTTTTGAGGTGACACCTTAGTATTAACTTCTCTATGGATATTTGGTTTTTTTATATTATTTTTTTTTTAGATGAGCTGATGATGATTTCTGATTAGAGAGCGAAAAGTCTTCGAATAAATAGATAAAGTAGCTACCATCTTTGATTTTTTTCTCCATCTTTTGACTGAAAAACCCATCACTCTTCGTTGACATTTTCTCTCCATGACCGTCTTGGTCTACCTCGTTTTTCTAGTGGGCGGAGTCTGTTTTTCAATTTAGTCTTATGGTTTCCACAATATCTAGTATTTCTAGGTCAATTTCCATTTCTCTCCTAATGTCTACGTTCCTCACCCTATCGAGTCTAAAGTGTCGGCAACATCGCCTCCAATAGTTATTTCCACTGCCTTAATTTTTGATTTGTTTTTTTTATTTTGAATACTTTCTATTATTGCTTTATAAATTCTTCTTTTGTTTTTTGTTTTTTGTTATGTACTGCATTAGCGATGTCATTTGTCCACCACAATGAAGTATCCATTTTGTTCCTTTAGATCGTGCCGAGTGCTTTGTAAGCTGCTTCATTGATTTTATTTATTACCTCTTGATAGGTATTCTGGGCTGAAGAATAGATAAGGTTTGTTAATTTCTTACTAAGCCGTAATTTATATAAAAATGATGTTGAGTCGTTTTGCAAAGCATAAATATTATATTTGGGTGGATTTATTTCCAGCGATTTTGATTGTGCTAGTTGGTCGTCATTTTGATGTAGCAGTTGCGGTTGATAATATAGGTAATATTTGTTTCTTACCATAAAGTAATCAGTTCCAAACTCCAGTCTTCTTAATACCCTTACATCTTCGACTTTTATGTGTATTTTTTGTTTTGTGACAACATAATCTATAATTGACTTGGTGCTTCTTTTTGGTTGGACTCAGGTATACTTATGTATATTTTTATGATGTAGAACCCGTTTAGAATTTTTAGCGACTGCTGTGCACAGAATTGGATTAAATGTTCTCCATTTTCATTTATTGTTCCATCTTCGCATTTACCTATGACTTGTCATTTGTTTTTTTTTGCTGTCCACACAGTAAAATCTCCAATAAACACTAAAATTTCTTTGCATCGTAGAATATGTGTTAATCTATTTTTGATGCACTTATATGATAATAATAATTATCTCATTAATTGGTTCCCAGCTTTTCAGGTTTTCTTTAAGTCAGGGTTTTATCAATCTTGATACTCCTGCTTGTGCTCTCTTGTCTTTCTCTACTCCAGTATAAATATGAATAAATTCTGCTATGTCTTCGCTACTTTGGCTTTGTTCTTTGCTTCGGTAAGAACTGTGATATCTGATTTTATTTTCTTACTTCTGCTATGACTTCATCTGACGTGCACCCTTGGATATTCCATGTATTTTTATTCAAATTCCTTGTATGTTTGCTACGTCGTATTCGTTTTTTCCCGTCCGTATTCCGAGGCTGGATTTTAGAATTTTTTGCAGTGGGTTTTTTTGCAGGTAAAGATGAGCAGACCGTACGCTCCAACCCCCTACCATAAGGACCAGGATTTTCTATTAGGGGTTTTCCCCTTACTTAACAGTATATAGTAGAAGGCAATATAGTGATCCGTGTGCACTCGGAAACCTAATAGCCATTCAGTGTCGAAAAAACAAGAGTAAGCCAAAAGAGGCTGTTCACTTTTATTTTAAATTATCATTATTGGTCTCCATAGAACTTTTTTCGATATGTAGTGGTGAATTTTCGTTTCAGCGATTGGCTATATGTCCGGTCTTTTTGCTGTTGTAACGTATCATATCATCTTGTGACAGAAAGATTCGATGTGTTGTATCGTCATAATTTATTGTAAACAAATCAGTTAGTTTAAGACTACGAGAACTTACATAAATCTGACTTCTGAAGATGAAAATATGAATATAGTAAGGAGATGTAGAGAAATTTTGAGAAATGTAATACCAAAGGATACCTTGATACGATGGACAATGTCCGATATTTTGTAGACAGTTTACTAAAAAATTATGCTGCACACATTTGAAAGAATGATGCGTTCTGCAGGTGGGATTAATCTTCTAGCATGTAACTTTATATTTTGAATTTTTATATAATCGTAAATTATCGTGAAGTCATAAACAACTTTTTTTGGCTAGATAATTAGACAATCTGAATGAAAATATTATATTCTTAGGTTGAATTATTTTGCCCAATGGAATTAAATAGTCTTACATGTATTTTCCAAGACATTGAAGACGATCGCTTGCTCTTTAGATGGGAATTGCATATTTGCTGCTGATGAATACCTTAAGCTATCATTAGGTTTAGGAGCATTTTAAGTGTGGGTAGAAGCATTTTAAGATAAGCTGCTGCTGTTAGGATAGATATCTCATTAATACGGTTTGGCCAGCGTTATAGCTGGCCCATATAAAGGAAGAAACTAATAAACTACATAAGTTTATGACAGTTTTTTAAAACACAACTTATTGAATTTTACATAGACGGTAAAAAATTCAAAATTTATTATTTTTATACAGAATGTAAAACTTACTGATCAGGTATTAGTAAACTTCTTGCACAAAGTTCACAAAACTAAAGTGAGATAACCCACTATAAACTTAATTTTTTGGGAGCTATTTTTGAGTCTACTGTTTTTGATGTTTATTAATGTTCCATCACTAATTTGACATTTTGCTGTGTCAAAAGTATCAACTAACATGTATTTGTCATAACACACGTAAAATTTTTCTTGAAACATTTTTTTGGTATAAATTAAAGTAAAATGTCGAACTGGAAAAATTTTGGAAGTGCAAAATTGTTAGTACCAAATTTATATTTAAAATCACAATACCGAAATATTGCTTGGTTTTCAAAACTTCCTCTAGCGGACCCGGACCCAATTTTTGGACTTCTCGACTCCTTTTTGCAAGACACTTCGAAACAAAAAGTAAATTTAGGTGTAGGAGCATATAGGTTAGTAAATATTCTGTTGGTTTTTGTAACGAAATACTAATGAATTCCTAAAGCACATAATGGTAGGAGGTAGGTATCAGACTATTACAAATGTATTAATAAAATATATCAATGATAAACTCTTAAAGCGCCTATGAAAATTATTTCGTAAATGCCTAAATGAAAAAGGTTTTCCTTAATAATGAACTAAATGTAATCAATTCATAAGAAATGTAAGAAAAATAAAGAAAATAAGTATGTAAAAAATATCAACAAACATCCAGTAGTTGGATTAAATATAACGACTACTTACAACACCTTTGTTATGTCACGTATATTGTTAATAAGAAGAACGATTATTATCAATAATTACATTTTCTATCTAATAACTTGAAGTCAGCTGATGTTGCTATAAACCACAATCATCTACTAGCTACTAAGGAAAGCTAGCAGCAATGTTGTTTAACTTTACATTACCGAATTTCTGACTTTTACGCAAATGAGTAACTTCTACCTACTTCCTAGCTGTGAATAGATTTACTGGATACAACCTATTTAGCCTTCTAAGCAGTGGTGAGGTCAGGAGGTCGCGATGAGTTGATTTGAATGAGATGATAGGTTGAGTGACGGTTGCTTCTTTAACAGTTTTAACATGCAGGTCATAATGAATAGCATAGTTTGGCACATACCATGGGACATTGCAGACATCAACAAGAACCTTAGATTGGAATCTTTGTAGTCTTTGCATATCTGTATTCTTAGCAGTTTCTCAAACTTGAATCCCGTACATTCATACCGGTCGTATTATTGCCTTATAGAAGAGAAGTTAGTTTTGGAAACCAGTAGATTTTCTTGTAAAGCATTTCCAGTTGTAGTCATTTGGACCGTACTTGTTTTCTCCAATTTAGGCGATTATCTAGATATTGCGAGAACACCCAGATATTTAACATTGTTCCTATCAGGATTTTCGGTTTCCAGATACTAGAGGGCAACTCTTTTTTTTTTAACGTGAACGTGATTTTAAACAAGAACGTAAAACGAGTCAATTTATTAGTATTTACTTTTACACACCTTAGTTTTAACCAATTTTCTAATTAGTTTTAATGGTCTTGCAAATTTCTGGATGCTGATCTTGGATTCACATGACGGCATCATCTGCATACGCAGCAATACTAGTATTATTTATGGTAGGAATATTAGCTGTGTCCAGTAAATATAGGGTTGTACACTACCTTGAGGGATTGCTGTCTAGATCGGACATGGGGAAGTGCAAGCTTTACCGTCATTAATTAAGAAGGGTCTACCTGTTATATATGACTGTAGAATTTTGGCCATGGAATGAGATAACTGTGACTTTATTTTGGAAGTGAGACTATCATGTCAGAATTAGTCAAATGCTTGCGAGAGACATAGGAAAGCAGCTGTAGTGTAAGACTTGTTTTCAAGGCATTTCTAACTGTCTGACTACTCTATGTATTTGCTTAATGGTATCATTTTTTTCTCTAAAGCCAAATTGGTAGTTTGGTATTAAGGTATTTTCCAAAATAAAAGATTCGATTCTAAGCATAATCTTTTTATCATTTAGGTCTTTGCTAGGTTTTGGCACCATAACTATTTTGGCTACTTTGCACATGCCACAAAATAACCAATTTTTATAACAGCATTGAAAATGTATAGTATTAGCCGTATTAACTACTTCAGGTAAATTTTGTAGTATGACAACTGGGTGTTTTTTTAAATTTTTTTAATATTTTTATTTTTTTAATTGGTGTTTTCATTTCCTATGTCCATTTCCTATGTCATCGTCCACTACGTCTAAAATGGGTTTTTCGTCGGTTTGATGAGCTTCTTTCTGATGAGGTTGGAATACTAGCCTACGAGGCTAGCTGCCATCATCCTTTCTTAGCAGTCTTAGTTTTTTGTTGGGATTTCAGTTTCCTTGCGTCTCCATAGTGGATAGTCACTACAGACTTACAGAAAGGTTTTGTTAAAAACATGTAAAATCTGTTTAGATTTGTTTTGTACATTGCGGCTCGAGTAATTCACCATTTTTTTATTAGTTTCCATTTTTCACGAATCATCTTGTTTATATAGTCCGGATACGAGCATAGTTTTTCTTTATAGAAGCGTTCTGGAGTAGCAGCTCAGGCAGCTTTTTGGATTGACGTAGTTTGGTGTGGTATTGCATCGTCAACGTCCTTTAACATAAATAAATTCCATAAATGAGCATACTAAAAACTCAGAAAAAATACAAAGAGGTTTGAAAATAAATGTAAACTAACTCAGAATATCTAGACCATAAATGGAAGAAGTAAAAAATAGTACAAGACGTAAAAACACATACAAGCAGCACGCATATAAAACCAAGTCATTCAATATTATTACTCAAAGCAGTAACACACAAAGATAAAACGGAGAAATGTAAAGAATTCTTCTTCTTCATGTACCATGTCCTTTCAGAACGTTGGTTACCATCATAGCTATCTTAATTTTATTCACTGCCACCCTAAATAGCATGCTTGTATCAACACCATACCAATCTCGCAAGTTCCTCAAACATGAGATTCTTCTTCGTCCTGGACTGCGTTTGACTGCTATTTTTCCTTGCATGATATTTTGTAGCAATCTACATTTGGGACCTCTTATTACATGTCCGAAATACTCCAGCTTTCTTTGCTTGATGCATTTGATGATCTCAGTAGTTTTGTTGAGACGTTCTAGTATTGTGGAGTTTCGAATCTTCTCCATCCAGGAAACTTTTAAAATTCTTCTATAGCACCACATTTCAAAAGATTCAAGGCGATTTAGATCGATTTTATTCACAGTCCAGGACTCGACAGTATAAAGTACACGTAGTAGCGAGTAGGCCTTAATGCCAATTTTAGGTGTCTGTTACATAACACCTTGGACATCCTTGTAAAAGCAGCTCTATCTTGGATCTAATTTCGCCGTGACTTTCTGAGTTACAATTTAATTGCTGTCCAAGGTAAACGATTTTATCAACTTGCTCAAGTTTGGTATTATTTACATATATAGACGGTTTTATATGCTGTTGTTTACTTATTACGACTATTTTGTTTTCCTTATGTTAAGATCCAAACCTGCCTCTTTACAACTCTCAACGATACTATCACGTAGTGTTTGCAAATCTTCAAAAAAAGCACAAAAGTGCTTCTCTGAAAATTCTTTCCGAGTAAACGTTAAAAAGCAGGGGTGACAAGAGGCATCCCCGCCGTACTCATCTTTTAATATTGAGAGCCTGTAATTCCACACCATCTACTAAAACTGATGTTGTTTGATTCCAATATAAATTTGCAATAATTCGAACATCTCTGCCGTCCAAGCCAATGTCTTTTAGAGCTTCGATCAATATAGAGTGCTTAAACTATCAAATACCTTTTGGAAGTCAATAAAACAACAGTATATGTCTACAGATATATCACGACATCTTTGAGCAAGTACGTTCATTCCAAACAGTGCCTCTCTCGTTCCAAACCCGTTACGGAAACCAAACTGAGTGTCATCCAGGTATTCCTCACATTTATTGTAGATACGACCATGTATTACCTTCAGAAAAATTTTCAATAAGTGGTTTAACAAACTGATGGTTCTATAATCAGCCCAGGTTTTTGCCGTTGTCCTCTTATGTATAACTATAAACAGTGAATTACCAACCAACAGTGAAAAGACCAACCATTAGGTAGTTGTCTTCTGGTATAAATGGTATTGAAAAACGAAGTTATAGCCTCTAAAACATTGCTATCATTTATAAGCTTATATATTTCAGTTGGAATTTTATCAGGACCAGACGTTCTGCCATCTTTTGAGGATTGTATAACATTAAAGCGTGTTATTAGGGGTCCGTCGCAGTTAGTAATGGATGACAAATGTAAAGTATATATTTCATAATTATTTATGCGACAAAGACAAAATACTATGATAGTATTCAGAGAAAAGACTAACCATAAGTAAACAGGAAATTCTAAATGCAGCTGAACAACTACCAGAAAATAATTGGCGAAGACAATATTTTTATTGAAATTTTAAAAATATTACTAAAGAAAAATTGATCAATAATACTATACTTGTTTAATAATGCATATAACATATACTAAATATAGTTTAACAAGGGGGTCATACCGCAAGACTGGATGAATGGAATGTTTGTACCGATACCAACAAATAACAAATGAAAATGTATACACATTGTATTATCCCAAGATAAAAACATGACGTATACTATATGCGTCGTGAATAATTAACATAACCACAATGAAAATAACTACTACGGCTATGAGTATACCATAGATAATAGTACAAGGTATGATTCCAAGAAGTCAAGGTATCAAACTGTACAACACATATTTCAGTATATGTATGTGCCAGATTTTTATCGTTTTTATTCATTCCGGTAGGAGCGAAAGGAGTAAACAAACAGAGAATATCGGACCACCAGTACCACTAGAAGCATTCATCTATGCCATAATAAACACAAAAGACTAAACATAGCTACTGGACCAGATGATGTGCCTATTGAATTAATAAGACGCATTGAGACATATATTATTGATGTAATGTTTGAACTTTTTAATGTAATATATACTATCCCAATTCCCAGACAATGGCTGCAATCGAAGTTTATAGCCATTCCTAAAAAATCAAATGCAATAACCTGTTCTGATGACAAAAACATAACTTTAATGAGACATACAATTAAAACATTTTTAAAAATACTACACAGCAGAATGGCTAAAACTTTTAAATGAAATTACTGATACACAATTTGGGTTTAAAAATGGTCTGTCCTCAAGAGAAGCTTTGTTCAGTTTGAATAGATATGCAGGCACATGAATCAGGACATATACTTATGTTATGTAGACATGTATTTGAGGAAGTATTTGATAAGGTTCAACGTAAAAAGCTTGTAGATATATTGAGAATTAACAATATTAAACGGCGTCGAGTAAAAATTATATCTAGTCTATTGTCAATATTCTTTCAATACGTTTCAATATGTATGT